GTTAAAATACTTTAATTTTATTCAAAAACTCTAATTTTCTTTATTAGAAACCGTTCTTAAAACAGTGTTTTATAAAAATTTGATGAATAAAGAACTATTAAGATTTAAATAAATTTTCATTCTGTTAATATAGATAATAGAGGTCAGTCGAAATTATAAGATAAATAAATTTGGATTTTTTTTCTATTTTTTTTCACCCATTCAAAAATTGTTGAAGAAACAAAGGTGTTTTACTTCCGATTCCCCGACCATGGTTATAAATGCCACTACAACAGAGGATGTAATTGGTCGACACTCGACATCACTGATGCAAGTTCGGTATGTTGAGCATAAAATGTCAACACATTTATTTCAAAAAAACTTTAGAAGGGTATATTATCCTTCTAAAATATTTATTATTAGTATTTTAAAATAATTTTTATAATATATCTTTTTATTAGTTCATTAGTTGATTATATTATAAATAATAAAATTTTAAAAAATAAAATAGGGAGTAATAATAGAAATTTTAAAATGAAAACAGATTTTTTCGTAAATTTATATTAAAAATAACAAGTTTATCACCAAAATTTAATATTTTTTACAAAAAATTTATAAGATATAACAAAATTTCTCCCTCATTTTACCTAATTTTATATATTTTTATTAGTTGTGAAACCAATTTGATTTTTATATATCTTTATTAATTTTTATTCTTATCATATCATGTGATTTATTCTACATTAAGTAAAATAATTAGAATTTTACTTAATAATATATAATAATATTAAATATAAATATTTTAATAAAATTGAATTCTAATTTTAATTAATAAATAGTACTAAAATTTGAGTTTGGTGGTAGTTGTAACTCCAACTATCAAATCGTGTAGATAACTGAAAATTTTTGAATTTTCTGCCTCGTAGGCCCCAATAATTAAGCAGAAGCGAGTGCTTCTTATTTTTGTTTTGGTTCCGGAAGCTTTCCAGAGGCCATACAATTTAGCTTAAAATAAACAAAATTAACTTAACCATAATTATAATATATGAAATTGATTTGAATTATACATTAACATATTTATTTTGATTAAAATTTGATTAAAAAATTAAAATTTTAAATTAATTTTAAGTATATTTAGAAAGAAATTTAGTAGTTAAAATTTTATTTTGAGAGTTAAAATATTCAAATAAAAAATTATTTAATAAAGTAATTCAAAAAGAAAGTTACTAAGTTCTTTTGGAAATAATACTTTAGTAGGTGTTCTTTCAAACACTATTTTTTACTTTGCGGCTAAATTTTTTTATTATTATTTGTGACTAATTTCTTTAGCCATTCAATTTTTCAAAACTTTAATATTCTTACCTCTATCACATTCAAAATAGTATACATAATTTAATAAAATCATCAAATTTTATTTTTTTATAATATAAAAATATCAAAAATAAAAAATTGTTTACACTATCTTATTTTATATTACAAGATATTTATAAATGTGAGTAAAATAAAAATATTATAATTATTTAAATAATAATCAAAATATTATAATTTTAATAAAAAATACTAATTTATTTTATAAATAATTTTATCAAAAAAATATATTCAATCAGCTAATTTTATAGCTTTAAACTAATTAGTTCGTTAGTTTGGTAAAACAAACTCTTTATTAGTTTCATTCCTTAAAGTTATTTTTAAAAAAGAAATTTATTAAATAAAATTATATACACATAATACTGTATTTTTAATAAAAGGCTTAGTCTAGTTGCTTAAAATCAAATTCTAAAAATTAAGAGCATGTTTGGTTTCTTGAAATATTTCATGTTTCTATTTTCTTTTCTAAAATAGTTTTTATTTTTAAATTGTTAATTGTTAAAAATTGTGTTTGATTTTATTTTTTATTTTTTTCAAAAAAAATGTGTTAGGTTTAACTATTTTTGATAATATATTTATTATATTAATTTACATATATAATTTAAAATTAAATATTAATATTTAACTAATAAATAATTTTTAAAATAAAATTTTATATTATATATCCTTACTAATGTCAATTTTATTTCACTATTTATTTAATAAATTTAAATACTATCACTATTCATCATAAGACTTAAAATAACAAAATATAATATAAATATAACTATAATTTAGACCTTGTGCAATATACATATTTTTTTCATATAAATTTATTAATTTTGTATATATTTATTAATTTAATAAAATTAAGTTTAAAAAATTTAAAAGTATAAACTCTTCTTAATTTTTTGTTATTTAATTATGAGTATTTTAATAATGTGTGTCTGTATTTCTATGTTTCAAAAATTGCTATTATAATATAAGTATATAAAAGTTTTTAAATAGTAACTACAACTGTAATAAAAAAAAAAAAATAAGAGTATAAATATGGATTTTTTAAAATTTATTTATTAAGTTATACAAATAAAATAGATAAAAAATTATAAAAATACATATATATTATAAGAGATAATTAACATGAAGGGGAGTTGTAATAATATAGTTTTTGGTAATATAGACAATTTAGCTTTAGTAAAATAATATTCTTCTCAATAATAGTGTATTAAATATTAATAAAATGTTATATTCTATTAAATATTATTTTTGGAAGTGACTTATTACAGATTTTTGGAAAGATCGATTGTATATGTGAATTGGATTAATGATCTTTTTAAGTATATTGTTAATTTTTTTAAAGTTGTAATAGGTTAGAATATTTCTAGTACTCTAAATTTTTTCTTAATAAATTATGATGTTTAGAAAAAAAATAATTAACATATGAAAAATAGCAAATAAATGGTGTAACACTTAACATTTTAAATCTTGTACTATAATGCAACAAAATAAAATATTAAAAAAATAGGTATACATAACATTGCAAACACAACAAAATGAAATATTAATCTTTAATTTTAATGTATAATATATATTAGAATCATTGGTCTTTAATATAGCAATTAATAACAAGATTCTTTTTCCCACATTTGATTTGCAATTATTTCTTGAACATGTGTCATTTCAATACCTTGGTTAGTATCAATATTGTTGTCTTCGTACTCTACCCCTGAGCCTTGGTCATCCCCAATCAAGTCTTTCTCTAGCAAATTGGTTAAAAAGTCAATTTTTACAATGTTGCATTCTAATAAATTATGTATATTATAACAAATAATTAAAATTAATCTTTATCTTATAGCGAGATAATTTGGGATTACAACTTATATACAGAGAATGACATCAATATTATATGAAAATTTAATATTGATTTAAGGGAGATAACGACAACAAAACTATAAAAAATTGAAAAACTTATATATATATATATATATATATATAGCTACAAAAAATAATAATATTAAAAAAAAAATTCAATGATAGAAATTATACAAAAATTGAAATAAAAAAGATAAAGAATAGAGAAAAAAATATATACCTAACTTTGAAAAAATGATAAAAGTAAGAAACTTTATCATTGTGTTTTTACAAAAATAATGAAAAAAATTATAAAAGAAAAGGAAAAACAAATGTGAAAAAGAAGAGGGGAATAATTACTTAAGGCAAGCACCATCTTAGTGAGAAAAATAAAAAGAAATTCGCAGTTTGATGAAAAAGACAAAATGCAAAGTAAAATATAAGTTGATGAATATAACTAAGGTTGTCAAAATAGATTAACTCACTCCGACTTACAAAAAAACAGGCTTGCCCACCTCGTATCATTTAGAAAATATATTAGATTTTTTAATTCAACCCATTTTAGGGTGAGGTGGCAGGCTAATGGGCCAACTTGCCAAAGACCAAAAATTTAAAAAAAAATTGTTAGTAGGTCAATAAGCTAACCCACCTAAAATTAACAACAACTAAAAAATTTATAAATAATATTTTAAATATTTTATATTATTAAAACTTAATATTTAATTAATAAATATTTATTTTAGTTTTTAAATATTAAAATGGGCTCGACGGGCTAACCTACCATGGCCCGCATATTCAGTCCTATCCACCATTTTTAGCGGGCGTGGCAAGCGGACCTGCACAGCTCAGTCCAAATTAACATTGTTAAATATAACATATTTAATTAAAATTTAATAATATTTATAATGATGTTACTGTATTTTCATTCTTCTCTTTACCAGGTATTCTCAATTTCAAAAAAAATATTAAAAATAATTTTTTTCAATTTCAAATTTGGACTGGATTTTGAAAATATCTAAAAAATTATATTTTTTAAAACTCAACAAAACATATTTTTTTTGTTTTTATTAAAAAATAAATAAACCAACCAGAACCTAAAGTTGTCATTTTCTTTTTAAAATAAACAAGTGGTAATTCGAAATTTCTTTTTATTCATTTCACTCGCTCAAAGTTAAATTTATTTTTGTGTAGAATCAATCCTACGTAATTAACTTTGAAAAATAATTATTCATAAGTAATATAAACATTTAATTTATATTTTTACTAATATCTTAGATCATATTTAGGAGCAAGACTTTATTTCCAAAGTTTTGATAAAATACATACACAAAATTATTAAATGAATAACTTATAAAAGCTAAATAATGATATTTTCTTTTATAATTAATGATAGTTTTTGTTTATATTGTATGGATCATCAGGAATTTTTTTCTAATATTTAACACAGTTGTATTTATTAAGATTCAAATTTAAAATCATAAATTATAATTGTCTATGTTTCTTTCCTAGGTTCATCCTTTTTATCCATTTATTACGAATCATTAGTGAGAAACATAGACAATTATTCTTGTACAGTATTTATATTCTATGTCATGATTGTTAAATTTTTCTTTTCTTTTTTTCTAAAAGAAAATTAAACCTAAAAAAACTTTTATCAAAGGACATTTGAATTTAAAGCTTGAAAAAACTTGTAAAAGAAACACTTCAAGTTACGAATATTAAGCTATCCCTTGTACATTCTAAAATTATCTTAGTAAAAATCTTGACTAGTTTGTCAAGAATTAAACATAACATTGAGACTTAAAATGAACTTCTATAATGATGGTCTGTCTCAAGCTATATATTATTGACATGTTAAGCCCTGGAGGAAGTAGTTTCCTTCGTGAATTAAACCCTAAATCAAAGGTTTCAATTAAGTTACCAAAGTTACCCACAAACACACGAACAAATAATTATTTAGACCCAAGAGCTCAGTGGGAAATTAACAAGCCTGAAGGGCCCATAAGTTCGAGGTTTTATTTCTTAAAAACTCGTACCTCACTCGAATTTATAGAGATATTTTTGAAGAATAGGAGCTATGAGCTTCTTGTAAACGCTCTCGGTGGGATGAAAACTGTCCCAAAAGACGTAATCAAGAACATCGGGACAAGTGGAAGCGAAACGGTTGCACAATATTGCAACCTCTATCCTGCCTGTGCCACAGCATCCCGTGTCCCCAACTTTATAGCCTGCGTGCGTTTAGAGGAACAAACATATCTTTTAGTTGGTAAGACGGAGTAAAAGAATATCCGAAAGAATTATTAAAAGAGATCAAATAACAAATAATATTTTTAAAAATTATTTTTTATTGAATTTAATGATATCATATAATCTATATAAAAAATTGTTGAAAATAAACTGGTCATATACAAAAGCTACTAGCTTGAAGCACCAGTGAGGACAATGAATAATATATTTTTTAGTCCAATAAAAAGAAGTAAAAAATAGATCTGAAAGAATTATTAAAAAAGATCTAATAACAAATAATGCTTTTAAAAATTAATTTTTAATTAAATTTAATAATATCATATAATCTATGTGATTTACCTATCTAATGTTTGATTACTATTATTATAATAAATAATAACGTTGATAATATCTCAATCTATTATTATGTTCAATTAATATAAAAATAAATAAGATAAACTATATATAATTTTATCTTATCATATTTTTTTTATATTTTTAAACTAATAGATATGATAAATCTATTCTATAGATTTTTTTTTCAAAAATATAAACTTTATCTCCAAGAAGATTTGAGAAAAAATAGTTAAGATATGATAATACGATGTATGTAATTTATATAACGTCGTTGTTCATTTTTCATATTCTTTTTTTTTTATCTTATTATATCCATTCAAAAAATTCTAAATTTGCTGACGAGTTAAACGCCCATAAATTAGTTTAGCCAGGACTAACCTAATTTAATATTAATAAAACATAAAATTTAATTATATATATATATATATATTTATTATGTGTGTGAATAAAAAAACATAATAATTTATTCAAGGTGTATTTCTTGAACGCATACGTAATTTAATATTTTTTTTTACAAATTATAAAAGTTAACTAATCTAATAGTGTTGAAATAATATTTTTTTAATGAATATGTATCTCAAATTTTATATATATAGACATATCAATTAATAGCCTATATTTACTTATATTTGTTAAATGTATTATGCTAAAATAAAGTTGTACGAGACATCCTCATTTAATATTTAAAATTTGCCAAAGATTTAAAGAGAGTCTCAACTCTCTCTCTTTTTTTTTATTATTTTTTTATTTTTCCTGATGTATATTGGGGATGAGTTTATTCAATAAAGTATAAATTATTTTAATCAGTGATTTTTAATCGGTTGCTCATTCCATAGAAAATAAGAACAGGTCTACAATTCATTTAATCATAATTTAATTTTTCATGTCTATTTGAAAACTTTGACTTAAAATATGATAATGAAAACAAATTTAAGATATATTTTACTTTTACAACCAATTTAGGGAAATAATATTGTCAACATGCATGTTGAAAAGCTCAATTTTGAATATTTTCATAATTTGAGTTAATTACTCAAAAAGAATAAATTAACTAGATCTTACATTTATTTACGCATTTTTTTCCTTTTTAAATACATTTTTTAAATAAAAAATAAAAAAACTTGTTTGCTAACTTAAATTTAAACAATAAATAAATTTCATTTTCATTTTTTAAAACATGTTTTAGTTTTTGCTTTTTGTATTTCTCTTTTCATATATATATATATATATATATATATATATATATATCTGTGTGTGTTATTATTTATTTTAATTTTAAATAAATTTTGATAAAATAAATGTTTTGATTATATATATAATTTTTTTAATAAAAACTACTTTTTTTTTATCATATATTCATTATCACAGGTTAAAAATTGTTATTATATTTTTAATTTATGCACAAAAAAAATAATGTTTTTAAAATTAATCATTATATGTTATTTTAATATTAATTTGTATTTATTTTAATAATTTATTAAATTTGATATAAATTACAAGCATTATTTCATAAACAAGAATATTTTTCGGTTCAATTAGATTTTTATATTTTTATATTTTTATAATTCAATATTTTATTTTAAATATAAAAGTATATTTAAGTAAATAAAAAATAATAAAATCAAATATCAAAGATATATATATATATATATATATATATTTAAAATATTAAATAAATAAAACTAAACATTTTGTTTAGTTTTTTAAAAAAATATCAAATATTTTTTATTTTTTTTCATTTTAAAAACGGTTTTGAAAACTATATTAACAGATATGTTTTTTTTTTAACTATTTTTTAAAATTGTTTTAAAATATAATTTTTAAAATAAAAAAAAATGCTCTAATTTTTAAACTTTTCAATCATACTTCTTTTTGTTGTTTCCTAAACAAATACATTGTTCCCTAACAGCCAATTACTTATGCTATATATATGGCTTGACATAGTAACATTTTGTGGGCACACAGGAGAGATTTAGAATTACCGTATTTTTGGTAGTTGACGATGATATCGAGCAGAGGGTCGTAAACATCAATGTAAATATTCCTGCTATTGGGAAAGTTCCGATTAAGCGAATCCAGTTTCTTTGATAGTTTCGTGTTAAATAACTTGGCTACCTCGTTCGGCCTTTCTGCACACCTCCTTCCTATTCCCCCGCCCACTGTTCTCTGAAATGGCAGACACCCTATTGGTGGTGCACTGAACACTGCAATTCTACGTGCACCCAGTTCATTTATTTCCTTTCAATTCACAGAGGAAAACATAAGTTAATGAATTTCATATTACATGACTCTAAAATTAAATTATTAGAGGTATGTTACCGTTAAGAAATTAGAAGCTGAGGTGATCAAAAGATCCGTGTATGCAGGAATATCATATAGGAGCTGTCTAGTGCGATAGGTATTAGAAATGTCACTGCTACCAGCAACCACAATAAAAAGACTGTTGGCTAAGATGAAGTTTGCTTTGTCCTGTCCAACCAGTCCTTTTAGCTTCCCTATGTATTCTTTGAACAAGTCTAGTTGACCGGATAATGGCATGGATGACTGGTTAATTATAATTCAGCAGAAAAGTTAGTTAGGAATCGTACAATTGTATAAATGAAAGTTCTGTTTGTGTTTATTACCCAAATTTAATTTATGGATATGGAAATATACATAAATTATACCTCTAATGTTGATGTCAAAGGGTCGTATCCTGAGCCACCTGAAGCAAAGCAGACCCCTGAGACCAGATCACTAGATTTCAAATTTGGACTCAGATATGCTGGCAGAAGCTCCTTAATGCCCAATTCTTCAACTGTTATGTAGTAAAAGATAACTCAGTAAAGGAACTTTTTGTTATTTTAATCATTTTTGGATAAAACTATTTTTGTGATAAGATTATAAATTTTAATTTTATTCTTTTGAAAAAATTGATATAATTCTTTATTGAACATTGTCTTCTTGCAAAATTTTCAAATATTTTATTTAGTACAATGTTAATTAAAAAATTTAGCTATTGATTAAATGAATTCAGTAGAGTAAATTAAATAAAACTTTTATTGGACAATTAATAAAAAAATATTATTTTGACATGTGTTACGTACATGTAATTACATAAAATAAGAGTATGTTTGAATATTAGAAAACTTAAATTTATAATATGTAAAATAAACTTTTTTAATGTATATTTTACAACTTTTTAATGTAAAATAATTATTATTTTTATTGTATTTGTTAGCATTGGTCCCACAGCCAATATCATATATTAATTGGATTTTTTTATCTTGTACAATATTATATATGAAAAAATAATAAATATTTTTTTGTTAAAAATAATAATATTTAATGATATTAATATATTAATTTATAATAATATTTATAATAAATAAATTTTTATCATATATAATATTCAAAATATTAAAAACATTATATTTAATTATCGGGTTAATTTATGCAACTGAATTAAAACCCAACCTAAGGTCAATAAATGTTTCAATACGGCAAACTAAGACTCAATAATCTAGGTGTCAGTGAGCTGACAGTAAATTAATTAAACTGTCGGTTGATTTACACTGGGTCTTGAGAAAGACAAACATTTTTTATTTTTAATTATAAAAAAATATTTTTTTATTTGAAAATTTATTTAAGAAATAATAAAAAATATTTTCCGATTATTTTCACTGCTTTTACTTTTATTGTTTCTAGGGTTTTTCGTATAATTCTTAAAAATAAAAAAAAATACAAAAATCTAATCCTGAAAATAAAATTAAACTAAACGGTTGCTTAATACATCAAATGTGAATAGTCTCTATGTTTACTTTTATTTGTCATTTAAAGTTGTGGTGTATAAATTAAAAATATATGATTAATATTTTAATTTTATAAAAAATTAATTGATATTATATTATATTTTTTATATCTTGTATTGATTAATTGTTAAAAATAAAATTTTCAAAGTTTATTCATCCATTAATATTTTTAAATGATCATTAAAATTAAAAAATAATCAAATGTTAAAACAAAAGAATTGAAGGAGTATAATATTTTAAATACAGTTCCACTTTCACATCTATGTAAATATGTATAAATTATTTGATATCGAGAGAAAATAAAAATATAAAATGCATAAAATATAAAAACTAATACGTTTATATTTAGATAAAGAGTAAAATTTTAATTTTTTGTATAGGTATTAAAAAATATATTTATAATTTTTATTTTTCTCTATTTAAGAAGAAAATAATTATAGGTTGTATATGATTTCCTTTGCTTAAATTTGTTTTATCCGTCCTATCCCAAGTATTAAATAACAAAAATAATACAATTATATATATATATATATATATATATATATATTCTATTTATTCCCATTGCAATCAAACATTTAAAGCATTGTTGTTTTTTTTTTTTTTTTTTTTAAGTTTTCTTTTATCTGTCATCCATGCCATGCCAGTAGGAAGATTTAGAGTCCTGATATTGATAGTCTTAGGTAAATGCTGGACATATTTAAAATATGTGGATTGATTGGGAGTGCGTGCTTCAACTTGTATTTATAAATTTAATTTAAAAGGATTTTAATTTTATAAAATAATTTTAGTTAAAAATTTAATTTAAAACGAAACAATTTATATAAAATAATATTTTTTAAATATGTCAATAAAAGTTTTTAAAATGTATACATTATAATTTTGTTAAACATATTGATATAATAAACAACTTATATTTGAATCCCCTAAAATTAACGGTGCTGATTTATCTAATATTACTATTCTTTTTTTAATTAAGAGAGATAATTATAATTAAGGAAGATAATACTACTATTCAATAGATATATTTGGTTTTACAAATTTCCAAAATAAATATTTTTATGATAAATTTCAAATTTAATTTAAATACATTAATAATGTAAAAATGTTCTACATTGTTATTTAATAATAGATTTATATATCGGTAAAAATAATAAATTTTTACAATAATTATTTTAAAAATTATTTTGACACATTTTTAAGATACACATTTTTACACTAAAAATTAATCCAAGCATAACTTTTGAAGTTATCGTCTAAAAAGGTTACTAAGTTTTGAATATTTGACAATTTATAATTAGATGTAAATAATATTTATGTCATCAACGTATTTTGATTAAATTTATATAAGTCATATTTATAATTTATTCTACATGATTGATGATATAAAATTTTTAACATTCATAATACATCACAATTAAATTTAAAAGTTGAATCTATCTATAAGTTTATTCACCGTAAAAGTTCATATGATTAATGAAATGTTCTATATACTTTTCAAATTTTGGGTGATATCTAATGTATTATTTATTGGGTAAACTTAATAATTTGATATTTTTCCTCTTCAATTTAATCTTTGAATTTTATTTATTTTATTCTAAGTATTTGTTTTATTTTTATTTTAGTTTGATTATTTTATTTTATTTTAATTTTATAACGTCAATCAAGTAAAACATTTTTTTCACTATGTTTAACTTTGTTAATTATTATTTTTACTTTTTGTTTTTATGATTCCTACAACATCAATCATAATTATTTTTTTTCTCTTTCTTTTATTTAATTGAAATAACTAAACGTAATTTAAAAAGATATTTAATTAATGTTGACAGATAAATTAAAATGAAAAAGTTAAAATATTAAATTTAAATAAAAAATTTAAAGAATAAAATAAAAGATCAAACAAGAAAAAATATAACTAGAGATGAAAGTATAAATTTTGGTTATTTATTCTTAGTTTTAGAGACTAATCAGCTAAACTACTTATATATTGCGGACGTTAGATATATATTATTTTGATATTTAATAGTTAACTAACAGAAAGAAACAATGTCTCATTCTACAATTATGATATATCTGACTCCCCATGAGGGTTACTCTCAGTCTTGCTTAACTTCTAAAAAATAAAAAGAAGAGTGTATAGTATATACCTATAAGGTCTGATGGAACCTTTCCATTGCTAAATCGGCCAGTGGGAATGCCTCCTTCAAAGTCTTTCCCATACGGAGGGAAATTGGAGCGAGCAAATGTTCTTCTGTTGTTATTGTTGCCTGTATCAACCACTGAATCTCCAAACACAAACACTGCTGGAACCGTAACATTTGGGGGTAGTATCAGCAAACCCTTTGTTTTGCAGCAAACGAACAACAATGATACAGTGAAACGAAGCAGTGAGGAAGTGAGAAAATCATTAGCAGAAGAAGAAGATGAAAGGAACTTAGAAAAATCAACCATGTTTTCGCTAGTTATTGGAAGAACTTCTTCCAACCTCCGTTATAAAACTAAGCAAAGTCACAATCTTATTTATAGACAAGAAATTTTAGTGAACTGCGTACACTTTTCATGGGTATACAACTTCCGTTTATTTTATTTTAAAATTAAATAAAATTATGATCAAAAGAACATATCAATTACTAAAATATTATATATATATATATATATATATATATATATATATAATCTTCTGAACTAGTGTAACTTTAAAAATTGTAATAATCAATGAAAATAATAAATTATAATTCATTAGATATAAATTAAATAAAAAATTTAAATTAAGTGTAAAATTTTTAAGCTTAAATTAGTATAAAAAATCATACCTTTTATATATATATAAAGTGATGAATCGTTTTTATATGTCAGCTATGGATTAGTTTTTAGTTCTTATATAAAGACCGAAAATAACTAATATCTCGGCGAGTGAGTGACATAAGGACATTTGAACGAAGGATTAATAAATAAATTTTTATTGAAAATTTCAGTGTAACTATATTAATTTTTAAATAAAATATAGTATTAATGATTTCTATAAATGCTCTATAGTTTCATTCTTAATTAGTATATATGAGAAGGAATAATTGCCAGCTTTAGTTTCCTGTTTTAAAATATCGTGTCCTTTTCCATTGGGCTCATCCAATGCATGACAGGCATTATCTCTGTGTTGACTTGTACTGGTCTATTTGGATAATAAAAAATATATACATGATAATATTTTAATTAATCCTAATTTCATGTTAATTTTTAAACACATTAATATAGGAATATTAATTTATTTTCATAACTTTTGTAAATTTTAAAATTTTTATTTCTTTAATTTATTTTTATTATTATCAATATTAAAAATATTTATTTTTTTATTTACTTTTATTTATAAATTTTAAATATAAAAATTTAGTGAAGTGTGAAACAAACTCTCGATATAATCGATAATTCTACAAAGTTTGACATCGTCCATGTTTGTTTGTGTCGGTGCAACTCTGCTTACTCTCATTATTTTATGCAATTTTAATGTTTTTCCTATTTATTTGGGATTCCTAATTACAATGACGTCAATTAAGAGAGATAAAAAGAAATAAGAGACTTAATTAAAAAAAATAGAAAAATAAAAAAAATATATAAATAACTTTTATAAATATATTAGATGCAGCACATTGCGCTGTCCTATATTCAGTAAACTTTTGAAAAAGAAAAAAAATACTATCTTGTTTGTTTTGGAACTTTTGTGTTTTGAATATTAACTTGAAGTCTAATCTTAGTTTAACATTTAGCTTGCTGCGTCACAAAATAATATTTTACGAAGGAATCTAATTATCAATATAAAAAATTAGAATTTAATTTTTAATATAAAAAATATAAACAAATATTATAATAATATTAAATGTTAGAATTAATTGAAACATTAAATATTGATGAACATATGAATGAATATTTTTTTTAGCGACGAAAGAAAACTCAAAAAATAAAGAGAAAACTCTTCTTATTACTTATTACCTTTTAAATATTTTACATACTTAGTTTCACAAAACAATAATTATTACTCTAAAATAATTATAAGTATGGATCTGGTTAAGAACAGGTCAAGCCCAATAATAATAATAATTATAAAACTATATTAACTAATAACGGTAAAGTTATTATAAATAAGTCCAACAATAATAATTATTTATAATATGAGTTAAATAATATGACTTAAAATTTTGATATTCAATTAATTTATAATTAAATTAAAATTATAGCAAAATTGATATATGTCTGTTTACACATAAAATATCTAATTATCTCTCACTTACACAACATAAATAAAAAATATTATATTATTTTAAATTAATCAATAATATGTGGCCACTAATATTTTTAAGCAATTTTTTATAATAAAAAAATTAACAAAATTATTTTTGATGTCCAAGAAAATAAATAAAATTTCACCAATAATTTTAAACTAAAACAAAGAGGTTAAAAAAAATTAGGTCTTATTACTATTATTCATATTAGTTATAATATAAAATAGATTTATTTATTGATTTTTAGTATTTGTGGCCAATACTATACAATCAATGCCATGTAATGTATGCCATTGGCTACCAAATGGGTAGTTTGAGATTTTTCATGATTTTTCCCTATGAAAATTTATGATTTTGGTGTTAAAAAAAGATTTGAAACTTCCAATTTTATAAAATTCTTAAGGAATTGAAATAGATTTATAAACTTATGAATTAAGGTTTTTCAAATTTAAATTGGATTAAAAAATTAGAGTTCAAAATTTCAAAACTAAATTCTCTTTGTATATTAATCTGTTTCCCACGATTTTATGTCGATTTGTTCATAATATTACCAGTAATAAAAGTCTCAAATTAATTTTGAGATTAATGATAAGTGTATAAAATAAGTGATTTGATATGGTAAATTAAACACTTTGTGTTAAAAGTTGGATTATTTTGTTAAATTCCCTTCAAACTTAGAACTTTTACAAATACATATATATTTTTGAAATGAATGCAATTTTATGGTTTTAAGCTCTTTTTGATCTATTTTGTAGCTGGAATCACAAAAGAAACATCACTTAAGGTTGAAGAAGATTATAAAAGTTAGAGGAAGGAGTAATTGAAGCATGAAGTTGCAGAAAAGTCAGCTTCTAGAGATTTCTCACTGTAGAAACACTCGCTGCAGCGAGAAGTTACAGCTGGAGGAGGGTGAATCTGTTCCCCTGTCACTATAGCGAGAAGTGGTCGCTGTAGCAAGAAGGCTTTTGTCTCGCTGTAGCGAGAGTTAACGCTGCAGCAAGAATTAAACAGAATGACCTAATTTTATCTTAATTTCTCACTACAGCGAGGCCATGTCGCTGTAGCGAGAGAAGTTTGACCAGACCAGTATAAAAGGTAACTTTTATGTTCAAGTGGGAGGTTCACTGTTCAAACTCCATTCCAGAGGTCCAAACGGCGCAAAGCATAGAGGAAGAGTAGGAATACTCATGTTTTTTATGCTTTATTCCATTTGTATCTCCATTTTTGTGGTTATGGGAGCCATGAGCATCTAAATCTTCTTATGGGATTGAATGTAAATATTCAAACCTAATGTATTCTCAGTAATCTATATAAATATAACTGTTTCTTTTTCATTTATAATGATTTGGTGATCTTAATCCGTTTATAATGTTTGAATTTAGTTATTTGACAGTTTCTGGTATTCAGATCTGAGTTATATTTGGAAAGATATTATTTAGATCTAGATCTGATTGAGATTACTTAATAATCGGTTATTCTAGGAATAGATTTCAAGTTATTGATTATTTCTAAATCTCGATTTTAATGCTGGATAGTTTATTAATTGTTTGAGGAATCAACATTTGAGAAATTATCTTAGAAATGTATTTTCAAGGCATTGAAATATATAATTTTTGTATTTTGCATTAGATTCATTAGAAATGATTGCTATATTTATTACTAGATTACCAGAATATATAGAGGGGATAGATAAAATTCAATCCCAGCTTTTTAACTTAAATTCTACCACATTTTATCTTAGTACTTTACATTTTAAGTGTTGTTTAATATTACATGAAAATTATTCACCAATTCTATTGTATATAAGCTCACTTAATTTGTATCTTATTAATTAATACATTTGAATTGCTCTATGAGGACGATATTTCAGTACTCTACCGGTTATTACTTGTAACAGACTCGGTACACTTGCCGTGTTTGAAGGAAAAGAACCAACAATTAATCAAAGAAAACTCAAAATTCTAAATTAATCTATTAGAACTCACTGTATGTCTGAATATATATTTTTTTAACAACCTTAATATTATTGATTTATTAGAATTGGATAGGCTCTAATATCACTCAAAGAAAAAATTAGAATCTAATTCTCAAGATGACAAATGATAAACAAATGTTACAATAGGACTAGGTGTTAGAATTATCTAAATCAGTAGATGTTATGAATTCATGAATGAGTGTTTCCTTGATCAATGAGAAAAAATTCAAAAAACAGAAAGAACTCCTCTTATCATATGTTCAAATGTTTTAATGGGTAAGCAACAATTACTCTAAAGTAATTATTAACAATTACTCTTGTTAATAACAAATCAAGCCTATCTACTATACTTGAGTCCATAACAATAATCATAAATTCATATTCACTAATAATGGTAAAGTTATTACAAATAAATTCAATCACACTAATTATTTATAATATAAATTAAACAACATGGTCAATATTTTAACATCTTATTACTGTAAAATTAAAATTATAACAAAATTAATTTACGTGAATTCATTCCTAAAATATCCAACACTTTAGTCATTGCTTCTCGTAAGGTAATATTTTCGCACATAGTTAAGTTTTTATAAACAGTGATCAAAGGTTAACTCTAAGATACATGCGGGAACGGGCACGCATAATATGTGCTATTTCTCGTTATGTCACCCTCTCTCAAAAGACGTTATTTAAATGGATTTTTCACTTTAACTTTGGACACACACACCTATAAATAAAGAAGGCCAAGTCATACCTATAAAAGTAACTTCTCTCGTTAAAAGATTGTTAAAAGCTTTACAAACTTGGGCGTTGAAATATTCTCTTGTAAGTACTTCATTGATGCAACTTCACTCACAGCAACTATCTGCAAATGTTAATAACGTATTTTTTAATATATTTTTTACTATTAGATAAATTTATTAAAAATATAAAAAAATATATAAATTTTATCCTTAATTTAATAAATATTATTTGTGTTTTTATGATTTAAAAAATTCAATAATTATTATAAAGTGTGTTAAAAAAATCTCTTTGAAGTTATATTTCTAATACTCTGATAAAAAAAAAAAGGTTCCTTTGAATTCAATTTTGCTTATTATTGAAACAATTTGGTTATTTAAAAATTTAATAGTGTTTATATATATTTTTTAAATTAAAAGAGATATTTTCTTGTATGACTCTTTTGATAATATAATTGGTCGTAGTCCCACTGTTGTTAGTTGAAAGTTGTGAC